TCTGAAATACCTTTGAGTCAGTAAACCACACAGCTGCTTCACCTCAAGCGGAAGGAAGCAAAGTCTCCAAGACTGTAAATGTTTGAATGCAGCTGTTATTCTACGATAGCATGTTGCTGGTAAAAGCACGAGACGTCCACTCTACTTCTAAATCTCCTACCCATAGCGCGCTGAGGTAGGAATGAATTACGAAAGGTCTAAGAAACCCATATTTTTCATCCACAGAAGAAGTAAAGTTGATTGAAAACAACAACATCTTGGAGACTCTACAAAACGATGTCTACAATATATATGATTTGTCATTAAAAAGTATTCCACCAGCCGAAAATATAGAGAACAATAGGCTCTTGAGTCCCGGCAGACCACTACACTCCTTTGAAAAGGAACACGACAGCTCTAGGAATGAGATTGACTTGCATGTGACGCAGCAATCATGAGTGCTCATAAATCCTTATCTATTCCTAAATCCGTTCTCGTCAACAGAAGTGCTGAGATCTTAACCCTTTTGTCTAAAGCCGTTACCTGGTTCCGCTGAGGATTTCATGCCTGAACTCACGCGTTGATGCCCTTTCTGGGTATGGACATTCTCTAATCAGAGAAAATTCCCGAAAAACCTAAAAAAAATGGTTTGGACATTGAATCAGTTGCGTTGCTTTGATAAAGTTCTAAAACTAAATATGCTTATCCTGGATTAATGCCCACCATAAGGGAGAGCTGTTAGAGTTGTTCCAAGTAAATAGAAACTTTGACTTAGAAACTTTGATCACACAAGAGTGGCGCTTTCCGAAAGTAGCACCAATGATGTTGCCTAATTTGACCGCTAACCGTATACGAAAAACACTTCCAGATTGAAGAACACAAGAGCACCAACAACCGCATCCAGAGCTACAACATTTCACATTAGTTCCAACTTGGATGTTCCGCCTAGGGGAGGACAGGGACCAAGAAAGGTAATGATGCACTTTGGGGAAAAAACCGGCTGCTATTCAAGCATCACTTTTCCTCACTGTCTCAGCGTAACCTGGAATGCACTTGCTGCAAATACGTTGATCTTCCAAGTGTCAAAGCTTTTAAACGTGAGTTTATTCTAGTTCAGCGCCCTGTATTTTCCATTTTAATTTCATGAACCCCACTCCTAATTGTCAGGGAAGCGTGTACTGCTACCTTTAATTCAATTAGCTATTTTTGGCTAATTTTGAGGCGGAAGATACACAAAAACAAACCCCATCGCTGATGAGTTAGAACCTGGACAGCACACACCATTATCAGGATCTCAGACAATCACATCCCTCAGTTTTAGATTTGAATATTCTTTTAATGGACACTTTGAACACATTCTGCACAGATAACATAATAAATATTTCAAATCAATACCAAAAGTTTGTTTTTATTTCTTTTAAAACGTTCAGGAATCAAAAAAGAAAAATGCTAGAATTTCGGTTTTAAAATGTTTTTGTTTGATAAAGCCAAACGTTCCGATTAGGTAAAACTGTGAAAGAGTGCGATCCAAAGTTGCAGTCTAATGGTACTGACGTTGTACGCTACAAGCAACCTGAGAGCACTGACTTTGGGAATTAGGAGCACTTCTGAAAAGTGTTGGATTTCTGAATCATTTTTGATGTATTAAAGTGAAACATTTTGGCTATTCTCGGCTGGAAAATTGTCATTATCACCATCAAATTACTGTACCATTTGGATATTTTACCAACAGAAATGCTATAGCTAAGAGTCTCTAAATACACATATTTATTTCAGCTTAATTAGCTCAAGAATACTGCAATGTAAAACAGAAATTATCGATCTATCGTTTCTGCTATAAATCGATTCGCAGCGCTGCACCACTATACACATGATTACTGTTATGTACAGGAATCTTACATTCAATGCAGCAACTTTCATATATAAAGGGATGTAACTGTTTGATCGTTCCTCGGATAGCTGTGTGATGTATTGTGCCGTTTTTACATGTGTATCCATATCAACGCTCCAAAACTGTGACCACGTCCTCAAAGACGTCCAAATCCCAAATTTCTGCAAAATGTTGTCATTTTGTATGTAGTAGTCACTCCGTGGTTATTCCTTTTGAACATACCATTGCTGCTTTCCGTTAATAATAAATGACAGTATACCATCCTCTTTCTATTTTTAAATACAGTTATACTTCTATACATTGAGTGATAATGACTTTCGATTTTAAAATGTTTAAAATTGTTGAAATCGTCGACGATATCGCCGTTGCAACTGTGCTTACATCGTGGTATCACGATGATGACATAATGCAATTTCCTGGGGTGCCAATCAAAAAACATAACGTGCTTTTATTACAAGGAGCAGCTCATCAGAATTCATGAACAAAATATAGGGTGAAGCTGATTCGGTCCACTGGTGGGTTTTGTGAAATGTATTTTTACGTCATTAATTATTCTTAATAGGCTCTACTGTATGCGAGCCGATATCAGACGGAGACGAATGCCCAATTATCCGACACAACCAAAGTGGTGAAAAACTTCGAAAAAAGAAAGATGTAAGGACACCTTACGATTAAAAGTATTCTATATTATTGTCCTATAGTTTTCATGTGCATTCGGATTGAATACGATAGATCCGCAACTCAAATAATGCCAAAGAAGCTCATGCCTCAACTGTGCGATGACAGCAATGTGACAAAACCAGAAACATCTACAGCTTCTGCACTTGACTTATACAGTCGTAGATGCCAATCCATTTCAGGTATTTATGTACCAATAATGAGTGACCAATGTTACAGCCTAATAGCTAGTTTCAAGGAATGCCGGGAATTCGTCATCAATCAAAGCCAATCTCGAAGGACAAGGAGAGTGGGATAAATGTTATGCTTCATCACTGACTGTCGACAATCTTTAGTTTTCGACCCTCGACTGTTACTGTTGATGCAAGCACTTTTGCACGGCCAACCGGTAGGTTGCAGCTTCCATTGCGTAATTAATAATTACAGATACCGTCAAAAAGTTAACGCACAGTGTAATCTCCATGAAGGCTGAGTTTAAAGTTATCAAAACCCATGCAATATCGTGAAATCTTGCAAAAGTTAAAAAAATATGGGTGCGATTTACGCTTCCAGTGAATAACAAGGAGCAGTTTTGGTTGCCGGAGGATAGATCATGAGGTACTGCATACTTCCACAACACAGTATTATGCTCATCAGCATTTGTATAAATCATTTTTAGAAAGGAACACACCTCCATGATCGGTCAAACTTGTGCCGGCGAGTTCATCCGACACGCAATGAATGCATTGTTGCACCCTTCAGTATTAACCATGGTAAACTGGATACAAAAGTATAACAAGGTCTACCTGAAGCACACAAGCATAGCGCCAGCGGTTATCGGTAGGCAATCATCTTCAAGTTTACTATATTTCTATTTTATCAAATAGCTCAAAAAAGAAAAGTTTCTAAGGGAGACTAAGGCCAGGATTCACGTGGGAATCCAAAGAGGGCTTAAAAATTGCGACAAGAGTGCTACCTATGCGGAGCTAATTGAAGGCAGAGTAAGCTAGTTATTTCAGATCTTTATAACTGAATATTAATTCAAAAACGGGAATATTCTCTTGACAATATTATTGTGTTTTATTGATAACATGAGACCATTTGGAATAGATTGCTAATACTTTGGTAGTAATATCAACTGGGATTCAACCTATCCACCAAGTGTTTTCATGAAGATGATAAGATAAAAGATGCATATGTAGAAGGACCGTGACCGGTTTTTAATAAATAGCCCATTTAAGCATTTAATCACATGGAAACCTTCATATTATTCAGATTACAGTTGTTAATTAATAAATTCGTTGTATTAAGGTATATACATACTGTTTAACTTTGTAAATAGATGGGAAGCATGTTGAATATACGATTAGATAGTTCAGCATTATCCTCCTATCCTGGTCCTGTTGTCATCTCTTCTAGTTCGACATGAGCCCTATTAGAGTTGTAGTGATATGAATTACCTTCCATTCTACATGTACGCTTCCGCTGTTGCATCTTATTATTTTACCACACAAATGCCACCTCTGTGATCAGCGCGTGTTTGCTTTCACTTTCCGAGCGCTTACTCACGCTTTCGTATTTCTCCTTCTGGCTCTGCAGGTTTACACAATATAACCGTCTTTCGTTTCGTGAATCATCTCTTTCTGTTTTGGTACGAACGCTCGTTTGCAATACAGACGTATTATTTCGGGGTACCGATAAGACGGCGCCCATAGAGTCTCATAGGGTCCTATTAGAGTCCCTTGGAGTCCCATTACAGTCTTTTTATAATCATTTTCGAGTCAAAATTGAAACCCTTAGAGTTAAAGTACATTGAAGGAGAGTTACCTTAGAGTCCCATTAGAATCCGTTATGTAAGGGTCTAAATAGGCACCTGAATTGTGTGCGCTAAGACCCTGATAGGACTCCAATGGGACTCTAATTGCATTTACATGGACAGTTATATATATATATCAAAAAAATTCCTTCAGCTGAAACGTGGTGATGTGTTAGTTGATATGGTAATCAACATATCAACTTCAGTTTGAACTGAAAGCTTTTATTTTTCAAATTAAAATACTTTTGATCAGGTTACTAAATGATCATTAATTACCAGTCCCTTGGATGTCTCATAAGATATCTAATTATAAGCTCATAACTATAATTACAATTACGTGTAATTGTATAAGAAATTGCAATTTCTTATAAGAAATTCATTTACTAAATGAAATCTAATCGGTAATCAAGCCATCGATGGCTTGATGGAGCTTAGACAGTGAAACAAATTCCATAAGACATACTTACGTTGTGGATATCAGATGCGTATTCAACTTTCCTGGTACACACTTTGTCAACCGAAGGGAGACGACTCGCCCAGCCGAACGAAGTCTCGAAATTGCCTCATTATAGTCAAGGCTATCCAGCAACTCACCATTCACGCTGATTATTCTATCTCCAATACTGTAGCATGAAGCTGGAATCATTACGTGCTTACTTTATTAAGCCAGCAGCCGGACTTCCTCGCATTATCTCAGATACGACAATAGCCAATTTTCCATCTGCATTCCTGGCACCACATAATCCAAGTCCCAGATCATAATTATTTGGACGGATAAGATCCACATCGTAATAGCAGTGATCATGCATTTCTTACAAGCATTCATTCGTCCATCACGCGATAACAATATTGCAACTGAAAACGTTCCACGCTCAAGGTCAGTCCAGTTCAGTTCAGTTCAGTTTGCACAGGACGATGTGTGGCCCAGGCCAATCTTGCGTCCAGATTGATGTGTTGTTGACTGTTCTTGTGGCTTCCAACATTGCGAGTCAATAGGTTTTTTCTGAAAGGCAGAAAGTAAGGTGTAGTATCACGTCCTGGGCAATGGCGCTCAGGAATAATAGTTACTTAGTTCAGTTCAGTTCAGTTCAGCTTGCACAGGACGATGTGTGGCCCAGGCCAATCTTGCGTCCAGATTGATGTGTTGTTGG